TTCCAGCCTCACTCGACGCCGACAATGGTGGTTGCCTACAAAGAATGTCTGAAGAACCATGCTGCCAGCTTAGGCGGCCACGCTCTCGACGGTTGCGGCGAGTTCATGCCTTCCCCCTCCTCCAACCCAGCTGACCCGACCTCGCTAAAATGCGCCGCTTGTGGCTGTCACCGCAACTTCCACCGCCTTGACCAGTACAGACCCAAAAGTAATGTTATTCGCAACCCCCACCGCCTGCTACCGGCGCCGAAACCAGCTCACTACAACCACAGCTCAAGCCCCAGCCCGAGCTCGAGCCCCAACCCAACTTTGAGCCCGCAGTCTCCACCGCCAGTCTCCCACTTGCCCCCCTCCTATTTCGCTTCCCCGCCGCAAATGCTGCTCGCTCTCAGTTCCGGCTTCTCTGGGCCGTCTGATGAGCACCCCCACCAGCACCAACTCAATCCGACGGCTGTGAAGAAAACGGAGAAGTACCCAGGTGAGAAAAAGAGATCCAGAACAAGGTTCAGCCAAGAGCAGAAGGAAAAGATGTCGTCTTTTGCCGAGAAAGTGGGGTGGAGATTGCAAAAGAGCGAAGAAAGACTGGTGGAGGATTTCTGCAGCGAGGTGGGGATTGGGAGGGGAGTTTTCAAGGTTTGGATGCACAATAACAAGCACGGTCGGAGGAGATTGGAGAGATCGGGCGGTGGAAACGGCAGCATAGGCGGCGGTGGGAATATGAACAAAAATGTCAGTGAGATCAACGGTGATGGTGAAAGACTTGGTTTTGACTCCATGAATGCTCACATCGCCGGCTACAATGTCAATGCCAACCCCCTGAACGAAGGCAGCAGAGCAAGTTTCCACCTTTCCAATAATGGGTCGTCGTCTTCGTCCTGAAACAGAGAGAAAGATGGAAGCTTTGGGAGATATTAAAGTTAATTAATCACGCTTATTAGTATAAACATCTCTTGTTAATTCGCTAGCACGTTCGTTAATTAAGGCTACCGAGTACTGACTGATCTGCTACTGTTTTGGCGAGGTCGAGAGGAAGGGATTAGAGAGGATAACGATTAAAGAGAAAGTTAATCATATGTTTAGCTGAAAGATATTATTCTTAATGCAAAGTTAATTAGTCGATGTTTTTAGCTTTCCATTAGTAATATAAAGTTGCTTTCTTATGCGGACATGTTTGTTTGTTTTCTAGCTGCTGATTAGTCTTTTTCCTTGTGGCTTAACGATTATAATATTTGATATTTCCATTTTTGGGTGGCCTGAGCATCCTTTGGGAATTTCGTGTTTGGTAATTTTAAATTCCCTTTAAATGTTTAATATTATCCATTAAGCTTAAAGGCAAAGCCTTCCCCATGTTTGTCTTAAATTATAGGGCACTCGCATTCCTAATTTTATTGAATTAATTTTTAACTTGAATAATATTTAGTTATTTAAAGGATGAGTGAGGGTTCTTATAAAAAAAATTAAAAAATATTGCTTGTTGATGATTTATAAAATTTCACGTTTTTAATGAAAACAATTTATATTATAAGTTACTTTATAAATATCGTCTTCGTTAAAATTTAAATAAAACTAAATTCGTTTGGTTGTTGAATTATATAAAAATAGATAACGAAATTGGTAAAAGTATTATGAACCTTTTATGTATTTGCTACAATGCTACAATATATTAACTAAACGATCTTAGATTTAATTTATTTTTTACAGAAATGATCTTTACAATGTGATCATAATATGAACACTGAATCATAAACATAAAGCTCTCTGATTTGAACATGAAAAGTTTTGAATAGGAATTCCTACTCATCTTTGAGTAGTTAAGCATGATTCAATCATATTGTATTACACTATTATTGGTATGACAGGTTGTGTTATTCACATTTAGATACTATTGTTGGGAAAAGTATCCTCGCCGGATCCTTTTCCTGAGGATTTCGGAGATCGTGTGATTATATCCGTTCATCGTATATCGTACGATCAATTTTCATTAGGTACTATTTATATTTAATTTAAAATTTAAAATTTAAAATGATTTCTAACCGCACAATGTACGATGAACGAACATGATTACACGATCCCTGAGATCCTTAGAAAAATAATCCGACGAGAATCCTTCCCCATTGTTGGTTCGAGATACTATTGGAGAACCTCCAAATCATTCAGCACAAATGTAAGTAGGAGGAGATAAAAAAAGATTAGTGGTAATTAAATTTTATGAGATTGGGCATAAGATTATCAGGTCGAGATCTAGAACCGAGTCCCCGTGACTCTTTAAATTGGGATAGATTTGGGACCAGCAAACAAAAATTAATAATCTCCTTCATCAAACTTGTTCTTTGGCCTTATAATATTAATGCCTCCCTTCTGACATCACCAAATCCACCATTTCCATACTTATGATCCTCACTTGTCTGTCAAAGTTGTGCAAGGTCCTTTCATTTTCATAGTTTTCCCTTCACATTTCACTCAATCACTGAGAACGGAAAGACCCCTTGCACAGAACGGGTCCACAATTTTAAATGACGTTCTTAGTAATGTTATGTCGAGAAAAACTTATTACACATGAATTTGCATATCTGATTTAAGATGTGATTGTAGTAATATGTATGTACTAAAACAAAGGAAGATTACATCAAAATTAAGATACATCTCAACAAAAACAAATATAAATAACCGACACACTGCTCTAATTAAGTAACGTAACGTGGGTAGCTTTGCCATGATGTTTAGACTTAAAACGAGGAAAATGATAAACTACGGACGCCCGGATTAGGTATGAAGTTTGAACCCAGAAGGGACACATGTAAAAGATGTGTTGTCATGCTGTGCATGCAGTTGTCTAATTTTGAGTGCTAAAGATGATTGCCTGGGCTTTTAAGGCAAGCCAAGCGGGAGAGGGGTTTGGCTTAATCCAAAAAATAATAATTAAAATTAGGGTTTAGGTGATGGAAGCGGTGCCCAGGAGCCTGTACAAACGCCACCTTTCCTTGTTTGATTGGTTGCTTAAAACGGCAAGCATTGCTGATGAATATATTTATATATAAATTATAATCCAGTATGTGTGTGTGTGTGTGTGTGTGTATATATATATGTTGATGAACGATCGTGATGATGACACGTTTCTCTCTGAGATTCTCCTAATCCAATTTTGTTGTAATCAATCCACCGCCCTATTTGTACACACGTGTCAAGAATCAAAGGTTAAGTCCTTGTTCTTTATTCTTCCTCACTTTACTTGGGACTTAGATCTCTTCATATTTTAATTTGGATTTTTAACTGATTTTGTTGGAAGATGAATTATTTGTTAGGCAACAAATAAAAAAGAAAGAAGCAATGCTTTTGACATTCTCGGTCGGTTTGTTTGACAAATACGTGAGGGCTTATTGGGACAATGGAATGGCTTCATTCTTTTGGGGCCCAAATCTTTACAAATAGACGACCGAAATTGTTTGTGAAATGTCACTTAGAGCGGCAGGCAACGCAAATTTGAAAGTAATGATGTTTACGCATACTGATGTGAATTTAATTTTCATCGATTTTTTAAATAATTAACAATTTAACTTACTAACTTTTATCGTTATTAAAAAAATACTGTTATATGATGAAATCAGTTTTAAGTGACAAATCAAATAAGGACAAGCAAAGGCTATTGTCGCAACTAGCCTTTTTAGCTACTTATAATGTTCCAAAGTTTCCGAAAACGCTTTCAGCAGTGTTTTACAACATGCTTATAACTTATCATCTACTCAAATCTCGTTGTAACATGATGTACTGCGTGATAGTGTTCTATTACATGTGGAGTATGTTTGTTCCCAATTCATATAAAAATATAGGATACTTAGGGTGGTCCCTCTCAAGGACTCCTCTCTTTAGAAGACCGTTTTCAAAGGCAAGTCCTGTCGATGAGCTCTCAAGTATGTCAAAAACAACATGGGAACAAAAATGAGGGCTCCACTTGAACCTTCCTACGAACAAAATTTATACTCTCTAGCTTTCGTGACACCGAAACCAACGGCTCTCTTTTGAGTTTTGACAAGTTTAGGACTCTTTATATCAACCTTAATTCAACTTGAGCAATGAATAAATCACGCTAAAGTCTTCCTTCTTGGTGCTTTTTGAACTTCTTCACCACACAATTTCCACTTCTTTGTATTTCTTCAAGCTTTTTCTCCTCCTGCAATTTGATATATAAATAATGATTATCGCTCTTTGTAGCGACAAAAAGAAAGCAACAGTTAACACCTATCATTTAACTTGTATATACGATCAAATATTAAGTGTGTGGATGAGAAATGCGTTATCTGATATTCAGAGTTTGTCACAACTACACTCGATTTTATTCCTTATTTGAGAAAAACTGTAAAAGATAATGTAAAGTTGGGTACAAACAAAATACTCAGTCAATAAATTGGCCGGCTGTGGCCATCATTATCAAGAAATTAGCATGTCATTATATACTTATAATCATAATCATAACAATTTAGAACGTACCTGTCAAACCTATTCATAATACACACGCATGTAAAGATGAGACATCAACATTTGAAACTAGACTCATACCATCCCATTACACAAGTTCGATTGGTTCAAAAATATGATTTTAATCCAACGAATGCGATTTGTTTGTTTCTTTTCATCAAATCTATGTAGAATCGAATTTAGTTCATATCTAAAAAATAAAGACCGTATATGCCCCCAGACCAAATTATACCTTGTAGTGCAACTTGTTGTTATAATGATTTTGACACAAATGATATTTTACCGGAAAAGAGATTCGAACTTACTTCAAAATAGAAAAACACTATTATAACCAACTTGACTACGATTAGATCGACTGATACGATGATCCAAAACAATGTCCGATAGGGTTTAGTGGGCCTAACTAGCCCAATACATTACCACAGTGGGCCTAACCAGCAGTCCAGTTTTTTATTAAAACGACATCGCATCAAATCATTGGTGGCAAAGAAGCAAAGATCTAATTACAACCCTCCGATCTTATGCAAATCCATTAAATAATTGTTCGTATAAAGCCTTTCATCTTCGACAAAACCCTAGACTGAGTGACAGCTGAAACTCGATTGCAAAAATGGTGCAGCGTCTCACATATCGCGCCCGGCACAGCTACGCCACCAAATCCAACCAGCACAGGATCGTCAAAACCCCTGGTAAGCTAAGTATTACTGCTCTTAAACCCTAATTCTGTTTGCTTCGTTTCTGGGTCAAATTTGTGTTTATTTGCATATGAAATGTTGGATTAAGATGGTTTTTTGAGATTAAGATTGTATTTTGATTTGTGGGTTTTGTTTAATTTGTGTTAATTGAAGTTCTGGTGCTTTTATTGATGATTGTTTTGGGTGTTACAGGAGGGAAGCTAGTGTATCAGACGACTAAGAAGAGGGCAAGCGGGCCCAAGTGCCCTGTTACTGGCAAGAGGATTCAAGGGGTATGTATTTGCCTTGTTTAAATTCGAAATGTTGTGTTTGTTTTCACATTTTGTGTTGATTTAATAGGAATTCGTTGTATTTTTGTGGGTTCCCAGTGTTTTGCATTTGCAAATGAATGAAAGTTTAGTTCTTTTACTTAGCGATATGCCGCAACGATAATGCCAGTTATTGGTAGGTTATGCATTAGAGTTGGAGCTACTATTTATGAAACTGTTGATCTACCCTCGTGTAATTGGATTCAAATAATTTGTGCTAGAATTATCAATATCATGCTCAGTTCACCATTGTGTGTGGAGATGGATGAATTTAACCTTTTCTCGAAGCTCGAAGTAAAAAGTACCCTTGAACTTTTACATTCCGTTTGCAAAACAATATTGTGCATAATGATTGCATAGTCCAGTTGCTTTAAGTTTGTTCTGAGTGGCGATACATTGTTGTCATTGTTTGTAGATCCCTCACTTGAGGCCTACTGAGTATAAGAGGTCCAGATTATCTAGGAATCGGAGGACTGTTAACCGAGCTTATGGAGGTGTATTGTCTGGAGGTGCTGTCAAAGAAAGGTTCGTGTATTGATTTCATCACGACATTTTCTTCTTCTTTTCATGTTATGTTGCACCGATGGGATTTAGACAAGTTGCTTTCTATTGGTTTGCAGGATCATCAGGGCCTTTCTGGTGGAGGAACAGAAGATTGTGAAAAAGGTGTTGAAGATCCAGAAGGCAAAGGAAAAGCAAGCTTCAAAGACCAAATGAAACTCTACTGAGTTCTAAGTAGCTTCAGACTACACTGATTTTGGCTTATGGTGAGCTATGGGATCTATTTCGAGGTGTTCCAATTTGTACCTTTACATTTTGTTGTGGATGGTTTAAGTTATGATGTTAAGTACATTTTCTTCAGAAATCCATCCTACCATGGAATTTCCTGTTTTGTATTTCAGTGGTAACATATACGCTTTCGAATTATTTGTGTAGTGTCAGATTACTAGCTTTATTTGCGATTGTAGTTATGTCACGGCTTTTACATGTTTCTGCTTGTGAATGGTGGGAACTCTACATGTTTCATCTTGCCCCAGGGGACATAGAAGTGCAATTTTTCAAGGGAAACAGTAAATGACCACCTAGCTTCTGTCATGAAGTGAAAGTATTCGCAGTCTAATACAACAAGGGTTTTTCTACGTCTCCCTCAAGCACACAAGATCAAGCTGAAAAGCGCTTCAGCCTGGCGACCTATTTGTCGTGAGTTCATTCACCCAAGACAAAAGTGCCAGGGTCTTCGGGCCTCATGGAAAAACGGTACCAACAGCTCATGGAAAAGTGGTAGCAACAGCCTTAATGGCACTCAGTCTTTCCCTTTGGTCCTCATAACAGCATTCCTGGTATGATCTGATCAATATCAGAATCACTTGTTTGTAGTTGGCAATTAGGAATCGCAGTGACGAAATTTCTCTGTGCAGGATGTCCCGTCTTTCTTTAAAAAGCGAGGCTTTCTTAGTTCGTCCTACCTTTAACATCCTACGGTTCCCAACTGTTTGAAGTGATTAAATATGACTCAAAAGTATGACAGATCATGATCATGATCATGCAGTAAAAAAGAGCAGGAACCCATTTTCATCAATGTACTCGACTCGAGGATGACGGAGTGACTAGGTGATCTCGGTGATCGGGTTGCTTTCATGAATAAGAACAGGAACCCTTTTGTGGACAAGATTGTAGGATAGCAGCAGCTCCCTCTCTCTCTCTCTCTCTCTCTCTCTCTCTCTCTCTCTCTCTCGCAACTTGGAAGAGGTCTAGAAAATTTTGGTCTTTTTTATGTTTTGAATGATACAAGAATATGTTTTGGTAAAATTCTCTTGGATAAAGAATAAGAAAAAAAGAAAGTTGGGCTTAGACTGATATCCAAATGGGCCTATCTCAGCTTCACATTTTGCTCTCTCCATGTTCTAACGACTCTCATGAATATTTCGGCTCCGGATCCAATTGAAAGTACATACTCCCTTGGTTCTTGTCTCCCCCCATGTACCAAAAAGGTCATTATAAAGAGACAAACAAGACCAAAGCTTCGACTGTTTTTTAACAAATTATTTACATTAAACTACAAGAAGGGAGATTCGAACACTGGATCTCAATTGCAGAGGCAAATACTCTTAATCAACTGAGTTACAAGCCACTTACAAACTTTCTCGTTAATTATCCCGCCTATGCTCATTGCAAATCCTAATCCAATTTTTTGGTTTTTTTGTTTTTGGGTCCAAATATGATCCAATGCTTAGTACATATATAAAGCTTTCATCCAACATCCACGTTATTGCTTTGAACACAAAAAAACAAAACATGTTGATTAATGTTTTTAGGCCTCTCGAGTCTGAGGACATGACTTAGTTAATTTGATAGAGGACCCCAAACATGTCAAACCTGATCAACGTTCTATTTCCTTAATCATACACTTTGGAGTTCAATTAGCAAAAAGAATTCTACAAACACGAAACTTAATCAAATAATGAGCTATAGCCTATGGCTAGCACAAACTAAAAAGCTAAGAAACATTAGTAATTATGCAATGTTTCTAATTACGTGACAAGTTTAAGTATAGCATCTGGTTGTGGACATTTCAGTCGGACATGGCGAAGAGTCCCACGTCAAACTCGACTTCCATGCATCCCCTCCTCCTACATCCACAGGCAAAGGCAAACTACTCATCAATGGAAACCCAATATTTGATCTCGCACTTGTCTCCCACTGTTGATCGTCTCTTTCTTCTGTCACGTTCGAGTTCACATTTTGAATGTTTTTAATCAACCCAGCTATATTGTCATAAACATTGCCAAGGTTATTATTACTTCCTTGCATGACCTCATGATGATGTGGCAATGCCATCGACGAAAAGCCTCCATTAGTAGTACTAAAGTCAAAATTAGTACTCTCTGCAGGGGCGCCCTTGACGTTGTTGCTGCCATTGTAATCTCCAAGCATCGAGGATGACATGTTTAACAACAACGAGGGCACATCCACTGTGCATTTTGCCGCTGATTGTCCGGATGAAGTTTCTAGAGGTGATGGAAATGGGAAGCTAGGGTTAGAAAAGTACTCTGATGATCCACTGGGAAAATTGGAGGAAATGGGAAAGTACTGATAGGGTAGTTTGACATTGCAACCCATCATCAAGGGGTTTACGGGTTTGTATGAGTTAAGATAAATATCTAGAGGGGATATGTTGCTTGTTGTGGATGAGATTTGTATGTCATTGTTGTTGCCAGAGAAGTCGGTTTTTGATGTCAGTATTGACATGCTCTCTGAACTAAACTCATGATGTTGATGAGTTGTATTGTGTGCACCTTTGGAGCCTAACATATGATCACCAAATGTGTTTGTTTCAGGCAAGACAGACACCCAAGAGTGATGAGAAAGGGCTCTTTGGTGAGCACTACTTGAATTTGTTTTCTTAAATATCCTGCATATTGCCCATGAATCCTGCAATGTGTATATATTAGCATCGGAAATGTTTTTGTCAACTAATCTCACAAGTTCGACAACAACAGATTGACAGTTTAACAATATAACAATCAAATATTTAGTGAAAATAATGATGCATATATAGAAAAATAGTTTTTCTTTGCTTACATTTGCAGGAATAGATTTGTCCATGAACGATGATGATCTCTTTTGTGGGAGTGAATCCGTGAGAGAAGGTAAACGAAACTCATGCATCATCCAGTCGGTTTTGACCCCTTTGGCAGCTCTTCCTTTGTAGAAAACAAGAGATTTCTTCAACCCAATACACTTGGAGGAACTACATGCACCTTCGGATGAGTAGATGGGACGGTCGGTTCCTGTTGCTTTCCAGAATCCGGCTCCGGTAACCCTGTTAGGCCTTGTGCTGTTTCTGTATTTTCTGTCCCTTGGACAGTAGAAATACCACTCCTTCTCCCCAGAAGCTGCCAGCTCTACACATATCATGCAAAAAAGTTAGTTAAAAAGTTTATGGCTAACCTGTTCAAAACAGATGCAACTAAAGCCCTTGTATATTCTGAACAAATTTGGAAGTGAAACCCTAACCTAAAAACAGAGATTACATATACACAAACATATATAATAGATATATATTAGGTTCAAAACTTCTATGTAATAGTGTTAAAAACATAGTGGGCATATCAAAGAACACATAAGAGAGAAAAAGCTGCTATATAATTAATATTACTCAGAGATGGAAGTTCTTTTAGTCATGCATGAATATGTAAGATTATGTTTTGAAAAATTACTTGGAAGATCCCAGGGGTCAAATTTATAGATGTCGAGTTGCTTGATGAGCTCAATAGAAAGGGGCCTCTGCTGAACCTTCCTCTTGAGATAAAACCCTACCAGCTCCTCATCAGTTGGATGAAAACGAAACCCTGGCAGCATCACTTCATCCATTTTTTCTCCTCCAATATTATCACTTCTCTCATCCATTTTTTTCTACAAAGCCCTGAAGTACTGGTAGGTATATACTGCTTCTCAATAACTATTTAAAGTTACCCAACAGTGAGAAACTGAAGAAATTAATGTTAAGGTTAATTACAGTGCTCCTGTGTGCATATATAACACCTGAATATGCTTGAAACTGCAGTAAGACGCAAACCCTACCTGTAGCTAGAAAAGATAAACACACAGAACGAGAACGAAGAAGAAGAAGAGGTAAGGAGGTGGAGTGAAAGCAACGAGTTCAAGATGGCGGTGAGGGTTTGGAGTTAATTTGTAGGGAAAATATATGCTTCCTGAGGAGGGTTCTGCCTCCGAAGGATCAGCCGCCTTTTCTGGTGACTTAATATATATGAGTGCGTGTGTCTTGCGAGGATCACGTTGGCTACTTCACAGTCTCAGACAGCAGTACAGATTGAAATTAAATTAGAAGGGAGCTCTTAAATATTGGAATCAAAATCAAATTAAAATTACACCTACCAAGAAAAAAAATTAAAGCTGAAAGTCAAGAAAATAGATTTCCACAAGAAGACCCTTGTTTCTAACTTGGACCTTAATGAACCCAATTTAGGGTTTTGTTTATTAATCCAAGTATTGGAATCTCAAGGAAACCCACCCATTATCACCACCAACTTATAGGGATTATGAATCTTTTTTTATTAAATAATATTTCTTAAATGTATATGCTTTTTAATAAAAGCGTTTTCTACATATATTCATCTAAACTACGAAAATGAGCATTCGAAGTTCCATACAAGGATGAGCACACTACTATAGAGAACTTGACTAGCCCTGATCTTCTCCTCAACTTTTAGAACGAGAGATTTGAACTTGAAAAAATACACTAGTGTGACCAACTTAATTAAGTTTAATCTACAAAGATTGTTTATTAGTAATAATTAAGTTTTGGTCTATCCACTACAAATCAAGACAAGGAAAACTTCCAAGCAAGTACTAGTTTTAAATTTGAGGTGTTTGAATTGGTGTTTGGAAGCGTGGACCTGAGCCAACCTCCAAGACAATGCTCAAACAGTATCAATATTTTAGAACTTGAATTCCTATGAGAGGACTTATTAGGATCCCATCATTATAATTAAGTGATATTATATTAGTTTCTCAGAATCCGAAATTCCCGTTTCTATTCCATTCCCAGAGCTTCTATTCCACTGACTTTGTCAGGTTCAATAGGTTGAATAACTTTAGCGTCATTATCTCACTCATCTGCAGGTTTATCAGCTGGCTATTACCCTCCAAATCTAGCCAATATGGACCACTTGCCCTGGATAGATACACAATACAGGTTACGTTTTACATGTAGATATGGTGAAATTATGTGTTTGACCTTTCAGGAGAATCGTTCCACCTATCTTTCAGAAACTGATCAGAGTCAGAGACTTAATTAAGTTAATTAATTAGTATTTACTCATCTTATCTGGAAATTTCAAATTAATTACAATAGTTTTTACAGGTAGTAGGAAAGCTAATCCCTCAATGATTATGTTGATGGTTATATGTTAAATATACAACTTCTTGCCCGTGTTGCCCTCAATTTTTTCTTTTCTAATTTTCCGTGCTGTAATGCATGTTTAATTTTGTGTCACTATAGTTATATAACTTCATGATTATATATGATGAAAACTATAGAAAAGCAGATTTCAACCCAATTGCATTAGAATATTTTAGGAAAAACCCACACATCTTTTGACTATTTTTTTCATGTTAAAAAATATATCATATTGAGATAATGAGGGCAATTAATAGCTTAGAGTTCTCATTTATGATTTTGTTTCATGCCTACTTTACCCTCTACAGTTTTTCTTTGTCAGCAATACTTTTCTAATTTAATGTTATTTATGTGGTACAAATTGATTTTTAGCTTAAAAATCAATAGAGATTTGAGTCTTATATATTAGTAATGTGGATTGGTTTGATACCAAATGTGTAGGTATGTGGATGAGGTTGATACCAAAAGTGTAGGTAATGTGGATATATAGGTTTTGATACCTATCGCGTGGAGGTGACGTAGATAGGATTTGCTTACCTGTGATAAGGTTTCAATTGACTATGCATACTAAGTGTCCATGTGGTCATTGTATTTGGATTTTTTTTAAGAGATATTTTATATACCTCAACATTAGGTTTTATGACTGCCCTTTTTTATATTTTTTATTTTAACGAATGATAGGACAATATACATTAAACTATAAAGAAGGTGATTCGAATATGGGACCTCCGGTGCAAGGACGAATGCTTTTAACCAACTAATCTACAAGCCATTTGCAATAAATTTTATGACAATATATGATGAAAAATACAAGTTATACAATACAACTACATGATTAAGTGACTGAAAAAAAAAATTGTCACATTCAAGTCATGTTATTAGTGTAAATAGCCAACTTATTTATTATTTCACAATGTCATTTTTTTAAAGAGAAATGCTAAGGAGGCTCTCTCAAAAGTGAGAAATATAAGGT